GAAAATAAGAACAGAAGGTGGTTGGAAAGAGAGAACATGAATTACCAACAAAAACTGAACTCCTGAGTGCTCCACACCTGGGAGCACACCCCAGGGATCCACCCCCACCGCATATCGAGCCTGCCCCCCTTGGGAGTGACAGGACCTGCTCCAGATTGAATCCCTCTCTGGACAGATCTTTAGTTCACCCTTCCTGAAGCCCAAAAGGTCATAGCTCCCTTGAGCTGCTGGAAAAATACTGTGTAGAAATTGCAGAGTGCAGGAAAGAAAACCAGTAAGCAAATGGAACCAAAGGCCAAGAGCTGAGCAGATGTTTATTTTCACCTACGTCCAATTTTAGCAAACCTAGGAAAAGAATAAAATGTCCAGGAAAACTCAAGCTAAATGGGGTGGGGGAACCAGTAATATCAAATTTGAGACTATATATGAAAAAAGATAAAATTTGATCAATTTATCATATCACTCAAAAGAATAAATTCCATATAGAATGTAAGACTTTCATAACTATGGCTAAAAATCTAGCTGCAGTTGAGGAGGGAAATGGATAAATTTGACTACTTAAAAATTTAAAGATTAAGACTACTTAAAACTTTTGTAAGGAAAAACATAAAGTATAAAATGACAAACACATCACAGACAAATGGCTAACATGCCTTCAAAGAGTAGAGAGAAAAACCCTGGGTGGTGTGGCTCAGTGGATTGGGTGCCAGCCTGTGAACCGAAGGATCACTGGTTCGATTCCCAGTGTAGGGCACATGCCTGGGTTGTGGGCCAGGTCCCTGGTAGAGGGCGCACAAGATACGACTGCACATTGATGTTTCTCTCCCTCTCTCTCTCCCTTCCCTCTCTAAAAAAATAAACAAAATCTATAAAAAAAAAAAAAAAAGTAGAAAAGAACCAGCTTGAAGGGAGTATGCCAGAATATGCCAGTATGCCACCCCTAAAGGTGCCACTTTGCATATGGATTGCTTTGAGCTTAAGGTGATCAAGACCCAGCAGATTGAGCAAAAGCTGTTGACCTCCCCCTCAATTGCCTCAAGAAATACATTAGGGGCCTGTACCAGGAAGAGAGCTATTACCAGAGAGGACATTTTTATCTGAAAGATTTGCCTGCTTGTCAGGGCAAACATCTGACTACCAAGCATCTGCTCTTCTGATCTCCTGTGCATTGTCCTGTTCCCCAGTGAACCCGCAGCTCCCACTCCTGAGGATGGCACAGAAGCCTCAGTCACTTGGGCACCTTTGAGTCTCAGGCCTTTATGGGCTTCTGTTAAGTATGTAACTAAATTTGTTTTCCTCCTGTTAATGTCTTTTGTCAATATAATTATTAGATCAGCCAAAGAATCTGAAGAGAAAGGGAAATTTTTCCATCCCTACAAACTCAATTTATTTTTATTTTTTTTAAAGATTTTATTTTTTAATTTTTAGACAGAGGGGAAGGAAGAGAGGGAGAGAAACATCAATGTGTGGTTGCCTCTCACATGCCCCCCACTGGAGACCTGGCCTGCAACCCAGGCATGTGCTGTGACTGGGAATTGAACCAGTGACCCTTTCATTCGCAGGCCAGCACTCAATCCACTGATCCACACCAGCCAGGGCCCTACAAACTCAATTTAAAAATTGCGAAAGACACACAGTTCACAGAAAGAAATGTAAAGGGCTTCATAACATATAAAAAAGATGTTCAAACTTGCTTCTAATAAGAAAAGTACAAATTAAAACTATAACAAAGCTAGTAATTTTTTACCTGTCAGATTGGCAAAAATGCAAGTTCGTCAATGCATTTTGTTAGCAAAGCTGTGGTCAAACAGGCATTCTAATATACTCCTGGTGGGAATGCAAAGTGGGGCCACACTATGGAGGGGAATTCTGTTGACAACATCTAACAAAGTTATATGTGTATTTCCTCTCTGATCCAGCAATACCACTTCTCAGAATCTATTCCCCAAATAAATCACTGGCAATATGGAAAAGTGTTTGCATAAAGCTATTTACTACAGCACTGTTTGAAAGAGCAAAAGACTAGAAACAACCCAAATGTTAATAAATACATTAACACTGAAAGGATAAGCCAAACACTTTTTTAAAAATATGCTATTACAGCTGTCCCAATTTTTTTCCCCTTTGCTCCTCTCTGCTTGGTGCCCTCCTCCCTCCAGCGTCCCACCACCTTAGTTCATGTCCATGGGCCATCCATACAAGTTCTTTGGCTTCTCCACTTCTTATACTATTCTTAACCTTCCCTTGTCTATTTTGTACCTACCATTTATGCTTCTTAATCCCTGTGCCTTTCCCCCCATTCTCGCTCTTCCCTCCCTCATTGATGATAACCCTCCATGTGATCTCCATTTCTGTAATTCTGTAGCTGTTCTAGTTGTTTGTTTAGTTTGTTTTTGTTTTTTAGATTCAGTTGTTGATAGTTGTGAGCTTGTTGTCATTTTACTGTTCATAGTTTTGATCTTCTTTTTCTTAGATAAGTCCCTATAACATTTTATATAATAAGGGCTTGGTCATGATAAATTCCTTTAGCTTTACCTTGTCTGGAAAGCACTTTATCTGCCCTTCCATTCTAAATGATAGCGTTGCTGGATTGAGTAATCTTGGATGTAGGTCCTTCCTTTTCATCACTTTGAATACTTCTTGCCAGTCCCTTCTTGCCTGCAAAGTTTCTTTTGAGAAATCAGCTGATAGTCTTATGGGAACTCCTTTGTAGGTAACTCTCTTCTTTTCTCTTGCTGCTTTTAAGATTCTCTCTTTATCTTTAACCTTTAGCATTTTAACTATAATGTGTCTTGATGTGGTCCTCTTTGGATCCAACTTGTTTGGGACTCTCTGTGCTTCTTGCCCTTGTATGTCTATTTCCTTTGCCAAATTAGGGAAGTTTTCTTTCATTATTTTTTCAAATGAGTTTTCAATTCCTTGCTCTTCCCTTCTCATTCTGGCATCCCTATGATTTGATGTTGGTACTTTTGAAGATGTCCTAGAGTCTTCTTATATTCTCCTCATTTTTTTGAATTCTTGTTTCTTCATTCTGTACTGGTTGACTGTTTATTTTCTACTTATGTTCCAAATCACTGATTTCATCCCTGGTTCCTTCCCTTCACTGTTATTTCCCTGTGGATTTTTCTTTATTTCACTTAGTATAGCCTTCATCTCTTCCCTTATGCATTTGCTGTACTCAATGAATTCTCTGAGCATCCTGATAACCAGTGTTTTGGACTTTGCATCTGATAGGTTGGCTATCTCCATTTCATTTAGTCTTTTTTTCTAGAGTTTTGATTTGTTCTTTCATGTGGGTCATATTCCTTTATCTCCTCAATTTGGCAGCTTCCCTGTGTTTTTTTCTGTATATTAGGTAGAGCTGCTTTGACTGCCTGTCTTGGTACACCTATTACATTGTAAGAGGCAGAGCCTTAGTGTTCACCTGGGTGGGGCAACCCACTTCTCTGTTTTGTGACACTGTATGTGAGGGAGGGGTCAGGGAGGGAACAATTCGGTTTGCTCAACTCTTGCCCTGTTTCTGGTTACGTCCCCCACTTCCTGTATAAAACTGATGCTTTTCTAGCTGCTGCCTTAATGCTGAATCCCAGAGTGGGTGGGTTTGCACACATTCTAGGACCTTGCAGGTCCTTTAAATGGACTCTCCTGAGAAACCAGCAGTTTCTTCTGCCACCCCAAACCTGACTGGTTTTTACAGCCAGAAGTTATGAGGCTGTATTTTCCTGGTGCTGGAACCCTGGGCTGTGCCAGCTGGCCTGGGGCTAGGATTGCTCACTTCTCAGATGTCCCTCCCAGTTTTAATCCACCACACATGAATGTGGGACTGACCGTTTTGCCAGCTGCTAACAGCCACTGCCTCCACTGCCTCACTGCCCCCTCACCGCCTTCACACCACATCCTCTCCATCCTGGCTCCCCATCTCTGCCCCTCCTACCTGTCTGGATGAATACTTTTTTCTTTAAATCCTTGGTTGTCAAATTTCCATACAGTTCCATTTTCTGGCAGTTCTGGTTGTTTTTTGTTTTGAGGTTAGTTGTAATCCTTCTTATGGTTGTGCAAGGCAGCAAATTGTGTCTATTCACGTACCCATCTTGTCCAGAAGTCTGCCAAACACTTTTTAAAATGGTTACCAATGGGGGAAGGTATAAATAGAGTGAGGAAAATAGGGATAGGAACTAAATTTCTGTGATTCATCTTGTTTTGTAGATCTGACTTTGAAACTATATAAAACTTAATATAATTACACACAAAATTAACTTTAAAAAGCATCCCCTGAACATCAAAAGCTAAGTAAAACAAAAGAACTTATCTGCACAGTGAGTTAGTGGTATAATCACAGAGAGAACTATGTCAATCAACTTTAAACCACAGTGATTTGACTGTGTTTATATACAGTTAGTGTATAGTGCAATATACACTAAGGACAAAAAGGCTGAGAAGTGGTTTTTATAATCATGTTAATTGACTAATGATTCATCAGTTAATGGTGATAAATATATGTTGTTATTTTCACGTTGTGTGTAGGTACTGAAGAATGGACCAAATGTTGATGTGTTTGGGAACTGAGCTATTCAGTTGGGAAAAAAGTAGATGAAAGATATAGAAAATTATGTAAAACAATGAGTCTACATTTGAATCAAAATAGTATAGACAAAGGATGATTTTATCTTTAAATATACATGTTTGTTTTTTCTCTCCAGTGAAAAGCTCTAGAAATAAGTATCAGCTCAGTAGCAAAGATTATCCCTAGCACCCTGACTGCATCTGCACTTGCCATCTCCCATCAACAGACACCTTGAGGAAATGTTTGGTTCTCAACCTGGGGAAGGAAATGTACACAATTTACATGGATGTCATCATATTAGAAACTCCCAAAGCTATCCAAAGCTCTTAAGATTCCAGCAGAGGTGAAGGCTCTCACTTGCCAAGGATGAGGAAGGTGAATATTCATAGGGAAAATGGCTGCAGGGCATCAGTATGTTTAAACCCACTACTTTATCATACTTACCTGGCAGGGGAGATACCATGATCATAAAGGTGGTTTTCCCAGGGCAAGGCTTATCCGTTGCTCTCCGGATGTACTAACCCCTTCAATTTCCCCAACTGTGGGAAACTCGACTGCATAATTTGTGGTAGTGGGGGACTATGTTCACGCTCTCCCCTGTAAATAAATAAATAAATAAATAAATAAATAAACCCACAACTGCATAACAAGCTTTCAACTGGTCACTTTGGGAGGGTTCTGTTTTTAAAGTATATTTTATTGAGTATACTATCACAATTGTCCCATTTTTTCCTCCCCTATATCCCCTTTTTCCCTGCACCCACTCTCCCTCTAGCATTCCCCCACATCACTTAGCTCATGTTCATGGGTCACACATGTAGGTTCTGTTGCTTCTCCATTTCCTATACTATTCTTAACCTCCCCCCTGTCTATTTTATATCTACCAGTTATGCATTTTATTCCCTGTACCTTTTTCCCCCATTTTCTCCCCTCACCCTCCCTGTTGATAACCCTCCATGTAATCTCCATTTTGGTGATTCTGTTCCTGTTCTAGGTATTTCTTAGTTTGTTTTTGGGGTTACTTAGGTTCAGTTGTTGATAGTTCTGAATTTGTTATCATATTATTGTTCATAGATTTGATCTTCTTCTTCTTAGATAGATAAGTCCCTTTAACATTTCATATAGTAAGGGCCTGGTGATGATGAACTCCTTTAACTTGACCTTGTCTGGGAAGCACTTTATCTGCCCTTCCATTCTAAATGATAGCTTTGCTGGCTAGAGTAATCTTGGGTGTGGGTCCTTGCTTTCCATAACTTTGAATACTTCTTTCCAGCCCCTTCTTGCCTCTAAGGTTTCTTTTGAGTAATCAGCTGATAGACTTATCAGAACTCCTTTGTAGGTGACTCTCCTTTTCTCTTGCTGCTTTTAAGATTCTCTTCTCATCTTTGATCTTGGGTAACTTAATTATGATGTATCTTAGTGTGTTTCTCCTTGGGCCCAATTTGTTTGGGACTCTCTGAGCTTCCTGGACTTGCATGTCCAATTCCTTTGTCAGATTGGGGAAGTTTTCCTTCATTATTTTTTCAAATGAGTTTTCCTCCAGCCAAAATGGAGGCATAGTTACATACACTTTATCTCTTCACACTTCATCAAAAGATGGACAACAAAAAATTTAAAAAGAAAAGATAGACCCCACTCCAGCGCAAAGGTGGTGGAGGATGCGCACGGAGATGCCAACAGGATGCCTGGGTGCTGTCCGCCCACTGCTGCCACACTGCACTTCCAGCCACCTTTCCTGGACAAAGGGAAGATGTAGGGCTGCACCGAAGCTGGATCATGGATCGCGCCGCGCAGCTCCAGCAGCCCCTGAGGGACTGAGGGGACGCCCGCCTTCCTTTCATTCAGACTCTGCTCAATGTCACCTTATCATGGAAACCTTACCCAGCTAAAGTGGCAGCCATCTTGAATGGGACCTGACCATTCAACTAGCTCTGTTTTCCTCAAAGTGCTTATCACCCACAGCTGATCCAGAAATGTTGAGAATTTGGAGAGGGAAGATGGCGGAGGAGTGAGTGGAAGTAATGCTGACCTCCTCCCAAGATCAAACTGGAATTGTGACTAAAATGTGGAGAAATCACCTGGAAAACAATGGAACGATAGAGGGAGAGGAGCCTTGGAGCCTTGGACAGACAGTGAAATCGACTTTCGCACATCCTAATGGGTGAGAAGTATGGTGGAGGTTCAAGAGGGTGGGCTGGGCACCCACGTGCACCAGCACCAGAGGGACATTAAAAAGGCCAGTTGGATCTCCCTGAGAAGAACAGGGTCTAAATCATAAGCAAGGACCCCTAGACTACAGCATCTGAAACTAGAAAAGCACACAGACAAAAACGCAACCATGAAAAGCTTAGGGGTGCTCTCTGCCAGAGACAGGCAGCTGGAGATGCAGAACGTTTAAAGGGCCAACACAAAAATTTACAGTGGCAACCACATTCCTTGATCTCTGGATAGAGGTGGGAACAGAGTGGGCTGATGCCTGAAGAAAGATTGGTGAGGAAAGCTTTGTGAAGAGAACTGAGACGGTGGCCAGCAGAGCCCTGGTGATAACTCACCTCCCACTCCAAGACACATCATCATCTGCAGCTACCATCTTGCTCAGGCATAAAGAAATCAATAATCCTGCCTTCTGTGTGCTCCAATCAGAGCGTGTGCGCATGGCGTGGGCTAGGGTGTTGAGTGCAGCGCGACCAGCAAAAATAGAGGATCCCTGGCCAAAGGGGACACTGAGTTGCCTAGAGACCCTTAAGGAGAGACTGGAGATGGAGGCGTTGGGGAAAGAACTGGAGGAGTAGCCGGGGATTCCAGAGCCGACTCCTTCCCCACTCCACAGTCTCCATTTTGTGCAGGCAGGCCACACCCCAAAGAGGCAGCAGTGGGAAAGGAAATAATAGCCCTGCCCTCAAGGCAGTCAGGCCTGGAAAGGAGTTGTGTGTGGGCCTTGATGGTGAGTGCAGAGCTGCCGGCAGAGATAGGAGACCCTGGGCTAAAGGGGACACAGAGCTGCCTAGAGACTCTTGAGGAGAGACTGGAGGCAGAGGTGTTGGGGAGAGAACTAAGGAAAGAGCCGGCAGCGGGGGAATCCTGGTGCCGATTCCTTCCCCATTCCATAATCTCCATCTTGCTCAGGCAGACCACTCCCCTGAGTGACAGCAGAATGTAAGGACATGATAGTCCCACCCTCAGGAGGCCCTTCCCTGCCCAGTGGTGCCTAAGCCTGACAGCTGAGGGCAGAGTAACTACATTAACAATTGCAGGAGACAAACACAGACAGTAGTTTCCTGGAAGGCTCAAACAGACGGCCTACGGTCAGACAGGGTCAACAACTGACATAATCAGAGGCAGACTCAGAAAGAAAATAAAAAATAAAAAATAAAAATACATAAATAAATAAAAAGACCCCCTACTACCATAGAAGTTTAATTCACAAAGTCAGGAAATCAAGTCTGATCAATTGAAACAGAAGCAAAAGAGAGAGAGAGAGAGAGAGAGAGAGAGACTCTCACAAATAATGGGAAGGAAAAGAAATACCCCCCAAATGAGAGCAAAGGAGGAATCCCCACAGAGAGCACTAAGTAAAATAGAGGCAAGTGAACTATCAGATATTGAATTCTAAAACAATGGCTCTAAGGAAGCTCAGTGAGCTCAGCGAGCTCAAAGACAACTATGAGAAACTACAGGGAAACTATCAGGTACTTACTGAAAACTGTATCAGCCTGGAAAAGGACATATAAACTATCAAGAAGACACAAGAAGAAATGAAGAATACCATTTCTGAATTGAAGAACACAGTAGAAGGAATCAAAAGCAGACTAAATGAAGCAGAAGATCGAATCAGCGAGTTGGAAGACAAGGTAGAAAAAAGCTCCCAGAAAGAACAAGAAATGGAAAAAAGACCCAAAAAGAATGAAGAGACATTTAGGGAAATGTAGGACAACATGAAATGCAAAAATATCCACATAATAGGGATACCAGAAGAAGAAGACGAGCAAGGGATAGAGAAACTGTTTGAAAAAGTCATGATGGAAAACCTCCCCAGTTTGAGGAGAGAAAAGGTCTCACGGGTCCAGGAAGCACAGAGGGCCCCATTCAAGAGGAACTCAATGAGGCCCACTCCAAGACACATCATCATTAAAATGGCCAATATCAAAGACAAAGAAGTAATCCTAAAGGCAGCAAGGGAGAAACAAAAACTAACATACAAGGGAGCCCCAATGCGGCTAGCAGCTGACTTCTCAAAAGAAATACTACAAGCCAGAAGGGAATGGCAAGAAATATTCCAAGCAATGAAAAGCAAAGGCCTACAACCAAGACTGCTCTGTGCAGCAAGGCTCTCAACTAAAATAGAAGATGAAATAAGGAATTTCCCAGACAAAAGAAGACTAAAAGAATACATCTCCACCAAACCGACACTACAAGATACACTAAAGGTACTGGTTTAAGAAGATGAAGAAAAAGAATGAGAAAGAGAAAAACACAGGTACAAAGGAGAAACATAAATCATTACCTATCAATAATAACTCTCAATGTAAATGGACTAAATGCCCCAATCAAAAGACACAGGGTAGCTCAATGGATAAGAAAACATGACACACATATGCTGCCTACAAGAGACCCACATCAGAACAAAGGACGTACACAAACTGAAAGTAAAGGGATGGAAAAAAATATTCCAAGCAAATGGGCAAGAAAAAAAGCAGGGGTAGCAATACCTATATCAGACAAAATAGATTTCAAAACAAAAGCCATAAAAAGAGACCCAGAGGGACACTTTATAATATTTAAAGGAAGAATCCATCAAGAAAACATGAACATTGTAAACTTATATGTACCCAACATAGGAGCACCCAAATATATAAGGAAAATCTTGGAGGACTTCAAAAAAGATATAGACAGTATCACACTGATAGTAGGGGATTTTAACACCCCACTGTCAAAAATGGACAGATCTTCCAAACAAAACATCAACAAGGATATTGTGGAGCTGAATGACGCATTAGATCAAATGGACTTAACTGACATATATAGAACTTTTCATTCCCAAAAAGGAAAATGCACATTCTTTTCAAATGTGCATGAACATTTTCAAAGATAGACCACATGATAGAACACAAAGCAAGCCTCAAGAAATTCAGGAAAATTGAAATACTAACAAACATTTTCTCGTACCACATGGGCTGGAAACTGGAAGGGAAACCTCAAGGGGAAACCTCAAAAACTTGAAAACTCATGGAGACTTAACAGCACACTATTGAACAATGAATGGGTCAATAATGACATTAGAGAAGAAATCAAAAAGTTTCTGGAAACAAATGAAAGTGAACATACAACAGTCCAAAACCTATGGAACACAGCGAAGGCAGTCCTGAGGGGGAAGTTCATAGCAATACAGGCTTACCTAAAAAGGATAGAAACATTTCAAATAAAAGACCTAACACTACAACTTCAAGAACTGGAGAAACAACAACAAATAAATCCCAGAGCAAGTAGAAGGAAGGAAATAATCAAGATCAGAGCAGAACTGGATGACATAGAGACGAAAAGAACAATTCAAAGGATCAACCAATCCAGGAGCTGGTTCTTTGAAAAGATAAATAAAATTG